GCTTTGTGCAGTCCTGCAGTCACTCTGGGTCTGTCTCTCTCTCTCAAATCTGCCAGGATGACAGGCACTCTGTCCATGTCAATGATCTCTTTCACTCACTGAGGACGCATTTGTTTCGGAAACGGTATGAGAAAAGCTGATGAGAAAGTCAAACAGGCAAACACCAGACATTTATTCTGGAGCAGATAACCCCACTCTGTTTCACCCTACCTTCATTTTGTACACGCCTTACTCTGTCTTTTTTTTCTTGCCTCATATCTCCAGCACATCAGACATGTCTGGTGATCTTTCGGCTCAGTCCCTTTTTACTTTCAGCCTGAGGATTTGTTCAAAGCTCCTTTTTTAAAGAGCTCATCCAGCTGATTGAGCCCTTAGTCTGACCAGCCTCTAAAGCTACACTCAATACAGAGTTATGGCCTTGTTGTGTGTCTGCAGTTGTCGTATTAGTGTGGTTTAAAGCTTTCCCATCATTTTTAAGGGCTAAATACAAGAAACCATTTATTTAACCCGAGAAATGCTTGTTTTGAAATTCTATTCTGAGGTAGAACTCCTATAAGCTTGCTATACAACTCCATACATAACCCAAGGAGAATCTGGCGGTGGATTTGAATTAAGCCAATTTATGCCAGGTAAACTTTCCTGCAACAGCAAAAGAAAATCCACAGTTTTAATCCATGTGACCTGTTTGGGTTGAGTCAGCAGACAACAGTAACCAAGTGTTTTCTTTACAAACAATTTACTGAGTCATACCCTGATGCAGCAACTTTAAGACCACGCCATAAAGAGTCTCTAGGAAAAACATTTTCTTGACGGTTCCACTTTTAGTCTTTTAGTAACTGACTGTTGTGTTACCATAGCCCTCCTAGCTTTAACAGTGCTCTCAGTAATAATTTGAAAAAGTATTTCATCCACGGACGCCAGGCCCCGGTTTCCACTCATAACTCACTCTGTTATTGACTTCTAGGGCATCCCAAAAATTGATTTTAAAGGTCCCATGTCATGGCCATTTCCACTGATCATAATTCCAATGTTGAGGTATACTAAAATAGAAAAATACTGTGCAATTTTCCAAACTCACATTGGTTTCGCATACAGCATCTTTGCAAAGTATGTGTATTCAGCAGTATTCACTTTCTCCACTAAACGGCTCGCTGCAGCACCCCCCCTCCCCCTCCCTGTGAGCCCAGTGTGCTCTGATTGGTCGGTATGAATCGCGCTGAGCTCCGTGGAGGTGTGATTTCCTTGTTTAGCGATACACAGCCAAACACAGCCAAACTCAACCTGAACACACACAAAGTCACAGCCGAAATAAAAACAATAAGTGTGGCTTGATATTGAGTAAGAAAAAGGTTTATAGGTTGATAAACGTTGTGAGAATGGGTCTGCAGAGAGAATTTGGATCCCAACTGTCTGTTATCAGCCTGCAGCCAGGGAGGAGAGATCAGCAGAGCTGCCTGCACTGAGTGTGTGTGTGGATTGGTCAATTTGGACCAATCAGCGGGGGCTTAACGTAACGGCTCCGCGGATTGGCCCATTTAGTTCCGGACGAATGAAATGACGATGACGTTTCACCAACGAGGCGTTTTGGGGAGGTATTTTCTGTGTTAGAGTTTTACTCGCTACAGGGTGTACTTTGAGGGTTTTGACTCTGCAGACCGTTTACATGCAGAAAAACCTTCATAACACACAAGGGGACGGGTAATAACCGGAAAAGCATGACATGGGACCTTTAAGATGAGATGGAACTTTATTTATCCCCTTGTGGAAATACGAGTGTTTTTAATATAGCAGCAGCAGGGTCAGAGTGAAAAACAGGATTCACACAAGTAAAAATAAAGATAACTTTTAAAATAAAAATAATAATTAAAAAATAAAGTAACTGTTAAAATGTTGCATTTTAACAAGAGCCGTCATTAGAAGCTCTGCAAGCCACGACAACAGGAATCTAGACACTCTGAAGGAGGCTTATTCCCTTGAACAGA